CCGTGGCATCTCGACACGCGGTGGATTAGATGTCTCAACGTTGTCGCGACGGATCTCGCGCGCTTGAGTCTGTTTTGGGTGCGGTGGTTATTACCGTGACTTATACGTTGTAATATGGGTCGGGCAATTTGCTTGCTGAATACTCTTTCGCGACTTCGTTTTCTATTTTTATATATATTCGTCACTCGTGATGCATTTCACGATCATATTATTATGAGTGGAGAGTGAAATAGATCCATTACTTGTTATTGAAATGGTTGTTCTCCTTGGATGGATATGCTCTGAAACGATCAATGCAACACTATCCAAAATCTGCACTATTCTTTATTTTGCAACATGTTTTTATCGGTGATTTTGGCTAATGAGAGACGATGATTTGGCTTTTGGAGCTTCTGTGTGTGGGCTGAATGGGTTTTGGCGCTGAATTCAAAAACTGACGGTATGTTTTAGAGCATGTATGTCGATGGTTCTGTGTCTCGCGATGGGGTAGTTTTCTTGATCTGAGGCATTAGAATGGGGCACTCTGGGGCGATTTGGAAAATATATATGCTTTATTTTGGTAAATAAAAAAGTGCCGGCAAACTATACTATATAATACTACCAACGGGTAAAGTGAAATATGAAGAAGAACCACTCTAAGCGAGTATGTGATCGTCGTAATCTGCAATGAAGATGGTGACAGCAAGTTGGTGCGTCATATACAATTTAAAATCCTCTGGAACAGTCTGAAAATAACATTACGATTGATTAACATGAACCCACTACAAGACTCTCAAGCGTAGCCTGGCAAAAGGCAAAATTTCGCAAAAATGTGCGATCGTCGAAGACGTTATCGAAGATATCATCAACACTGCGGAAGTATTAGATGCAAAGACAAAAAACGGTCGGTGAGCAGTTGTGGGACGCTTTAAGGACAATCTCCGTGTATGGACTTTTCAAAAAATCTACTGACATATCCCTAGACAAGGTGCTGGACAAAGTGCCACAGAACAGAGGCATTCATCACGGGATACAGTTATTTTTAGGTACAAAGCATTTCTCTCATGGCAATGACCGCGATCGCAGGAATAATTGCTGGGATGGATGAGGTCTTCGCGCAGCAAATAAAGGCTGGTCATATGCGTGGGGGCAAGTTTATGCACTGTAGTCCCACTTAAGGAAAGCTACTGGTGATCGATGCATCGCTCACACTTTCGA